GCTGCAGCTCACTGTGCTGTCAGCAGGACACCTGGCAGAAACACGCACACACACACACACACACACACATACATTCATTTATTTGTTTTACAGCCAAACAATATTTAACCTTACCATAAGGTTAGGTATGCAGACATGTTATAGGAATAAACCATATAAATGTTTCTATTTATAAGCTGTCATGTGCAGGAAAATGTGACAAAACAGATGGTGGAAGAACATGTATCTTAAAAGATTCAGAGTAGAAGTAGCAGCTCCAGTAGTAGTGGTAGCTGTAGTAGTAGTAGTTTGTAGTTCGTAGTTGTAGTTAGTTACTAGTTCGTAGGAGTAGTTTGAAGCCAAAGACGAATCAGGAGGAGAGGTCATTTGTGAGACATTTTTTAAAATACAAATTCTGTTTTTGGGAAAATTAATGTTGACAAAAAATATTATTATTATTATTATCATTATTATTACAGCATTACACTTGATGAATAGTGTAACAGAGTATTAGGTCGCTGCATTGCCATGTTTTTGAGTATGAGTTTATGTATTTGACTGAGGTGTTGGTCCCCATACCAATAGTGGTGCGTCCATATTTATCTTAAATAAATACTTAACTCAAACCATAATGTTTGGGTGGTGGTCATGGAGACTGCTGCCCCCGCGACCTGGTAATAGATAAGCGGATGAAAATGGATGGATGGATATATATTTCTCATAGCTGAGAGAATAAATCAGCAACTAATAAACCTTTATTAAGGTTAATTAAACATAGTTTAGGTTAATAAGCTACATTAGTGACATGAACAAGCTACAACAGCAAAATCTCAGGAAAGAACGTCTTAACTGCATCTACTAGCCTTCTGTTATCATCTTGGTCCTGACAACAAGATTTAGAGTTTTTTAATTAGACCAATAAATCAAAATAAACAATGAACCAAATAAAAAAGACAAATCCAAACTCTCCTGCTGTCAGGTACACTGACGATTCGTGCGTTAAACCCATTCAGTGCATCAAACTCTGAAGTCAAGTTGTGTCCCTGCATGTGAAAATGACAACCAGGGTCTCACATAGTTTTGGTGCACCCAAATTGCAGGCTGCTCATTTCCACACACATGTGGTTTTTGCTCCATGACTCATTTTGTACCATATGTGGACGCCAAACTCCCAGGATGCCACCATGTTGTCTTAGAAACGCAGTAAACAGACAAACAGAGCTGTGTCCTCCGCACATCCAAAGAAAATGGTCTTCTCTTTATGTTCAGTTCATTTATAATGAACACTGTAACAGGCCATTTCAACCATTTCAAATGTGCTTTGATCACAGACTTATTCTGGCCATGTGAACATTAATGTGTTGATGGTTTAAAGATCTACTCATCAATCAACTGTTGGCTTCTTTTCCTTATCTTTCTTGTTTCTTTTCTTCTCAATTCAAGTTCAAGGGGCTTAAAGAATAACACTCAAATGTCACAACACTACATGAGACGTGTGTCCTCTGCCTCTCTGTGATTCTCTGCACCAGTTTTACTATCACTGTGTGTCCGTCTGTCTGTCTGTCTCCATCCAGCTATTCCAGACACGCAGGGCTCGGCCAGGGCCAAATATGGGAGGTGGGCAGTAAAAACAAGGAAGACGGTCTGTGCTGTCACTGCCTCACACACACTCACACACACTCACACACTCTTCCTCTGTGGCAACGCTATACTACCTTAGTATCTCGTCTGCAACTCTGAAATGAGAAAACCCAGCAGGTTTCTATGACACACTTCTGAAAGGGTTAATGTCAGAAGGGCAGAGTATATGAGGTTTAGGAAATGGCAGCAAAAATAAACACATTTTTAACCAAAAATGCAATTAGAAGCCTTAGTCACTTTTCCACACCCAAGAATAGTGAAAGGTTTGACTAATGTTGAATAATCAACATTTTCTAATTCCATTATATTGTAGTGAAATGTTTTTAAAAGGTATCCAAGAGAAAGAAATTGGCAAGTCAAGAAAAACTATACCTAAAGTTAACACAACATGTAAAGAAAATGGAATGGAAAAATCAATTCAATATCAGGGTCAGGGAGTAGCCAAACGTAATGAGCTAAAAGTGGTAAGTATCTACTGTAACGTTGAAATGAAAAGATTAAAAAACGAGTGGAGAAGAAATTAAAAAAAGATAAATGTAAGATATCATTCTGGCAACTGTAGAAATGGCTGTTGAATAAAAGAAGTAGAAATTAATTTGATTAAGTTAATTAGACCTTGTAAGCTAAACGTGGCAGGACAAAATAGAAAAGAAAAAGCCTACAAATTAATAAAATAGTCCAAGAATTATGTCGAGCAGAAAACTTTCCTAAAAATTTCCAAATGGCTCATACAAAATATTTCATTTGGCTGGAATATAAAAACAGTGGCCAACAGGGAAGTGAATGTAGTTCGGTAAATATTTGAAACTGGCACAGTGGCAGGGAATGTTCATCAGGAGTAAAATACAGATTTAAGGGAGGCAACCCAGGTGACTCATGTAATGGTTTGTAAATACAATCTATTTCAGAGGAAAGGAGTGGTTTTTTTCTGTCTAACTACAGTAACTGATTAACTCTGTCATTTTTCTGTCAGTCCATCTGACAGGAGCCAATGAGAGATGGGACTCCTAATAAAGGTGGACAAGATCTGGAGGCCTAGGGTTGTGTGCTGATCTACATGACCAATAACTGGAGGGGAGGTGGGGGGTGGGGGGTGAGGACGAGTGTTCACACATCCTCTGTGTAATGTTTACATTACCATTATATAATATTTCTGTGCTGATGAAGTCCTGTCAATGTTCCTGTGTTTGTGGAAGAGTTTTTCACTGTGACCGTCGGGCCATAACTTGGCTGAGAGATTTAATACATTTGACACACGTAAAACTGCACTAAAATGTACGGCACTGACATTTATCTGATAGAAAGTTTAAAAAAAAGTTAAAATCCTAAATATAAACCACAGCCAAATTCACAGGATTTTTTGGGGGCAGAAAGTAAAAAGTTAAACTTAATCTAAAGTTTAATTTAATTTAATTTAAATCTTTAGTTATCCACGTCACTTAAACACAGAGGGCAAAAGTTAACTAAGTTAACTAACATGCTTGTCTAATTATTATAGATTATCTTTGTAAATATTGGACAAAAAATGTTGAATGTCATTCAGTTATTGTTGTTGCCTTTGTGGTCACATGGTGGCGTGACTATGACGCCGGTATGACCTGCTGTGGCTAGTGTCTCTTCCTGCAGTTTTTGCAGAGGAATGGGAATGAGAAAATGCTTAGCGAGCTCCTGCTCCAGTTTAGAGTCCAGACTGTCATATCAGAGAGGGAGAGCTGCAATTAGACAAATGAATAAACCTGCGGCCAGTCTTTTCTGCTGAGTGCTGAGAACATCGTTGCCCATTCAATTAGGATTAAACTTGCAATCCTGGCTGTTCCCGCTGACCTTCTGGCAACACAGCAATTACTGCAACGCTTCCCGGGGGGATGTTCATAAAAATGAAATGGGTCTTTTCAAAGCCCATATATAAAAGTGGATGCTGCACCACAGTGGCTGCCAAGTCCTGACTCGACAGAGGACGACAGCATACTCCTGTTTGTGCAAACGTCTCCGATTAACAGCAGTGATCATGGATCTAATCATTACTAAGAGGGTCCAGGGGAGGCTGCAGGGGAGCTGCCAGCTACCTCCAGTAGCATCACAGCTAACGGAGCAGAAACAGGAGGTTTTACGATGATGTTAGACGGAGATGCTTTATGGCATAACTGATCCTGGAATGGTGGTAACCCACTGGACATTTATATTTATCAGACAGTTATTTTTTAAGAGCATGAACTTGTACACACGTTATGATGATACAGTTTAAATAAGGTGTAGGGATTTAAAAAAGAACAGCCTAAAAAAGGAACTTAAGTACAAGCTGTAAAAATGATTTAAATCAAATCTTTCATCCATGCCCCTCTTATTGACTGATGTTGAGATTTTATTTTAATTGAAGTACAGGATCATTCCACCCTTGGCCACTAAGAAGTACATATACATATACATATAGTACACATACAGTATGTCTCATGGAAGCATATGGTGAGAATGAAGACTGATGTGCACTGCTGTAAAAGTTTGGCATGTTGTTGAGATGATGTGTTTTCTTTACTCTCTTTTTGTGATTCATATCAGAGTTCAATGTTTGACATGTTATTATTAGATAGATGTTGAGGTTGAATTTGACTTAAAAATCACCTTAAAATGTCCCTAATCTGCAGAGCAGCATACAATTTACTTTAAAGAAACAAATGTTACTCTGTTCTTATTTAATAAGTTCATATTTTGAATGACATTTTTAAATGAATTTTATAAAGTAATATACAGGAACATACAGGGCTTCCTAACTATCACAACCAGTCCAGATTAACTGTTATTAATCCACTGCTAACCAGTAAATAATCACATTAAAATGCTTTAACTTCAACAGCCTTAGTTTTTATTATTCAGAATTCTTTCTGCCCCAGAAGCTAAAAGCAGAATTGTGCACAGAGGTGAGTTTTTAGGTTATAACTATCTTGGTGTCAGGCTACAGCCTCTGAGTTGGGGAAGGGAGGCTGAAGCCAATAGTAGGGCAACTGACGCCTCCCCTATTTCTACAGCAGCTATTTAAAGGACAGACTGGGGGAAAGGTGGTGTGTTTGTGTGTGTTTGGTGAAACACACATGCACTGAAGTCTACACCAGAGCCTGGACCATTCAGGCAGTGTAGAAAATTAACTGTAAAAGTAGACCGTACCTTAGCTAAATTCTCTCTCTAGTTTGGATTTTGCAACTTATAGTTAAACCTCAATGGCAGTGAGGTATAACTTATCACACTGTGGTCTAAAAACCATGGCTTATCCTTGAAGTTAAAGACAAATATGTAAGGGTTTGCAAAAAAAAGAAACTGTTTAAGGAATAGTTTGTGTTGTGTGTGTTGTGTTGTGTAGATGAGTGTGCATCTGTTCCTGAACATACCGTTCTCCCCGTCTGCTGTTTCCTCACATCGATGGTCGAAGTTCTCATACGAGTCCCAGCGGATCAGAGGATCCTGGGTGTTGTAGTCCACAGAGACACTTGGTCCATTCTCCAGGTGGCCCAGGCCTGAGGAGCGGGACAAGTCAAGTTGAGTGACAGCAGCTTTGACATAAATCAATAACAAGGATGAAGAGGCGCAGTGAAATATGTACCTCGGATTTTTTCTGGGCCGTATGAGAAGACAAACTCCACTTTTCCATACTCTGGGAACCTCTCATCTGAACAGAGATGTAGTTATTAAAGGCCAAGTGAAGACAGCAAGACACACATGACCATAATGAGACACTATTGTACACAACATGTCCACTTGTACCGTGCTTCTACAGTACGTTTTAAGACTGCAGCACATTTTTCCTCAACGTGAATACGTACTGACTAAATATCACCACAAGAGGGCGCTGTTCACTTGCAGATGTAAGTATGAGCAGTGACCAGTTTGTCTTTAACTGCAGGATAATTCAGGAGGAATATTTTGAATTCCAGCTGGGGGATCATAAGCTACTAAAAAACTACAACCTTCTTTATATTGAAAGCCATTAAATCACGTTTTTTCGACTGTACCTTTGAACGTTTCATCCAACTCATTCTTTCCAAAAACTACGCCAAGGTCGTGGATGGCACAGGTGTGGAACTGCACTCTGAAAACCACGTCTCTGGTGGGGTTCCTGTATCTCTTGTGGTAACACTTGAGCTGTGGTGAAAGATCAGAACACTCAGGTACAACTGACAGCTGACATGCTCACAGCTAACGGCGGTGACTGAGTCTTTACCAGGATGTCTCCCTTCAGAAGCAGCCCTGGTTCGATGGTGATGCAGATACTGGTGTTGCTGTCTCCCTGTACATTACTGTGATGGTGAAATATAACAACAACAACAACAATAATCTGTGAAAATCCATTTACTGAATCCACTGAAATGTCTAAAACAAGAGTTTCCGTACTAGATTCCTGACGTATAGACTGGCTGCATGGCCTGGTAGATCTTCAGGAAAGGACGGCAGCCTGTAAGGGGACAAAGACAAGAAAACATTTCAATGCAAACAAATAGAAATAACAGTTGTATCATCTAAGTTCCAGCAGGGGGAGACACTTGCCTCCTTTAGCCTCAAAGTTGGGAATGCCGTGCATTATGACATGATGCAGGAACAAAGGTTTGTTGTTGATCTTTATGTGTCCGGACAGAAGGCCGTTGAAGTAGCGCACATACCTGGAGACAAAAGGAATCAGAGAAAGTCTGTGAAGCTGTCAAAAACAATAGGTACTAAACTGTGAAGCCGGGGCAGCAGGGAACGATGTCCTTTATGAGATATAACTTATATCAATATATCTTCTTCTTTTCCTTTTGCCACAGCAGATCATTGATTTCCATCTCTCCCTGTTCTCTGTATCTTCTACGCTGACTCCAACGATCTGCATGTCCTCCCTCACTGCATCCATATATCTCCTCTCTTTCTCCTACCTGGTAGCTCCATCTCTAACGTTCTTCTACCAATGTATCCACTGTCCCTCCTCTGCACATGTCCAAACCATCTCAGTCTGGCTTCTCTAGCTTTTTCTCCAAACCTTCCTGTCTGTGATGTCCCTCTAATGACCTCATTCCTGATCCTGTCCATCCTGATAATATATCCGCCTTTAAAAGAGATTTCATAGGTGACAGGATCTGATGTCACCTCATGGTAAATGTTTGATGAAGAATTACTGTAGAGGTCGTGTGTCTTTCTCAGGAACACATTGGCATAGAGCTTGCCAAAACCCCACGACCCTCCTCTAATGAGATGACCCACAAACTGGGCCAAACTGGGAAAAGTATTCATTATCTGTAAGTACAACTGTTTGCGATCCTGCTGCTACATAACACTAGCCTAGTAACGTGACATTGTTCATGGAGGACCACAGAGCTCAGCTCAAGCAAATCCATGTGCAGCCCACATGAACATGCTGGCCGGGTCTGTGCCTCTTTGGCAGCCATCTTGTCCTGTGACGACTTAATTTCTCTGTGGCTTTGTTTTCCGCTTCCTGTCCTTGGATCTTGTACTTTGACAAAAATGTTGGGGGAAATTTTTGTAGCTGCTTTTTTACCAAAAACCAAAGTGTCACCAATATTAGTGAAAAAGCAGAACACAGAGTTTCTAATAGTGGCTTTATTTTAGTTAACGAGCCTGTGGATTTCTAATTAAGTTTTCTGAGGGACAACCAGACTTAGAAGGAGTCAAAATATTAAGTCAGTCCAGGCCATCCTTTATCAAGGCCACCATGGTATATTGTATTTCTCCTTGTGTGGCCTGAACATGGAGTGGAATAAAAATGGGAATTTTGTCCAACAGAACCCTTTTAAAGGCAGTTTGTGTCTGACTATTTTGTATTAAAACATAGGTCACATTGTGGTTTTACATCTCATGTGAGTATTTGTGAATATTGCTATACTCAAGTGGTACAACGCCACCCAGCTGTAAGAGGAAATCGACAACAATAAGAGATGTTTAATAAACTAAGACGCTGAGCCCAACAGGAAGTCTGTTCATTTAATGATTGGCTTCATCTGTTCATTATATTCATTCCCGCCCAATCCACAGACAGACCCCAGGGGGCGCTAAGCAGCAGGGCTCAGTAAGAACTGTATAGAACTATTAAAGAAATAATGTGGTTCAAAATAATTTCTTGTGACATTCCCTGCCTCCTCTTTGATTTCTCTTAGTCAGCGTTCTCAGCAGGTAAAGATGAGAGAAGGTGACGGATCAAGGCCAACATTAGCCTCCTGTGGAACACTGTTTAGTAGCCTATACAACAGGACAGTGGTGTATATGGTGAAAACCTCTCTGAGTGAGCTACAATCACAAGACAAAATAGCTGAAATAGTCTTGAAAACCACTCTTGATTGGTCTAAATTGCTCTGGTTTGGAACAGACTCTGCAGTTTTCCTCATGGAAAGGACATTATCTCCAAGCACTTGGTGCTAAAAATGGAATAGAACCAATGGGGAAGAATTTGCCTAGATATCCTTAGAAGACACAAACAAACTGCTGCTGAGCCCAGCAGCCTCCCAGTAGACACCAGTGGAATCCCATAGATGGACAAGATAGATGACTTTTGTCTGTGTTGTGACATTTAACCTACAATTATCCCAATTAAAAGTGAATTGGAGATAAACAAGGGTGGAAAATAAATTCAAAGGATTTCCTCTGTCGTTGCTTCTGAATCAAAACACATGGCTTCAAAATCTTTCCCGTATCCATGATCCTTACATGTCAGAGGTGATAACTGCACGTCTGGCTAAAACTAGTGGAACCATACAAAATATATATTGTTTTAGGTATATGTCCACACAAAAAAATATTTAAATTATTTAAACATCAATATTTTGTTGGATCTAAAGGCCCTCATAAAAGCACACAGAAGTCAAATCAGCCATCCTCCAGTTAGTTTAAGAAGATGGTGCCAAAAATATGTGTGCTCTATTTTGCTGACCTTTAGAAGGTCATTCCAGCCCATTTCTCCTTTGCCTGTGGGTTGGACCAGAGTCTGAAACGTCCTCTTTGAGGAAATTTCATCCCAGTTTCATGACTTTGTGTACCAGTTAGGTAATGGACAAAAAGGAGGTGACATAATGACTGACCTTCTCTGCGATGGCTGACCCACAGGAAGTGCTTTGTCTTCATAGAAGCGTCTCATTGCAAACCTGTCCAATGCCTGGTCAGCACTACATGACAAACAGGAACACATGTAAGGTGGTTGGCCTTTTTCTTCTTTTTTTTTTACGTGGCTCTGACGTGGACATGTGTTTGGTACCTTGCTGAAATGTTGCTGTAGTGCATGTACGCTGCCACCACCACCCCGGTCCGACCTCGGTTTCCCTGTCACACAGGAAGAAATGAATGCTTTGTCAGCAGTTTGATTCACACTGGTCTTTTAAATTAATATATTGTCATATGTACATACATATAGACACATATATTCTTCCTGTATATATTTATATACATATACATATGTATATATACTGTGTATATATATATATATAAGCTCACACACACATATGTATTTGTTAAATAGCAGCAAAAACTGCTGCAGAAATATGTAACTATTTTATATAAATGGATTAAAGCAGTTATCTAACTTTTTTATTGTGCATACCACACGCATGAAAATATTTTCCTCTTCAAGTACTACAACTACAGAATCACCATTAAAATACAGCATCAGGTTCTCTCACACGTGCCACTAGGGGAAGCAGACACCACCTGTGGTACACATACCACAGTTTTAGAAACCACTGGACTAAACTATGAAATTATTCCTAATTTAATCCAGGATTAAATTGTGCTAAAAATTATTAAAATATAAAAGACAGTTTTACAGTTATAGTCAGTGAGTAAGTGTTGTCTTACAGTAGGGTGACCATAGTTTGTTCTACCAAAGAAGAGCCCACTCATTCATATAAGGAATTATTATATCATAATATTAATGTCTGTTTAACAATTTCTCTTTAACAACCTCCTCTGTGTCACAATATTTGTCTCATAATAAGTGAATAACAGAGCAGAAGCCTTCACTTTATAACAACAACTGCAGTTTTCTTCCTCATCCTCCTTTTTCTTCTTCATTCCTTTTACCTGCCCATCCGTGTTTGGCTGAGAGCTGATGTTACCTGACAGTTTTCAGGTCTTTTCAAGAAGTGTCTTTGAAATAATGTTGGACTGACAGAATTCCCTTCAGTGTCTCTCACCTGGCCTCACTTCTTCTGGGGCCGTGTGAGCTGTCAGGACACTGACAGCCTCATTTAAGGTGGAAAAGTTCCAGATTTGAACACAGTGCACTCCTCCTACCATTTGCCCTGACCAGGAGTGTTGCCAGCAAATATGTTGCTCATTTGTGAATGAAGAGAGGCTCATCTGCTCACCTCATCAGTGCTTCTTGCCTCTGCTTTTTACTGTAGCACAACATGTAGCAGGACATGTCCCAGGGACAAGAGAACGACTGGTCCCTGGACCTTGAAGCCTGTCTAAAGGTGACATGGTATCTGGACAGGCTACTTCCTCTGTTTTTCTTTGTCACAAATCTGTGGAGCTGACCACCCTCTAGTGGACAATTGGAGTGGCTTCGTTACCTTGTTGTGTAGCACCACAACATTGCGTGCGTCTCCACTGAGCCATGTGTCGATGGCCTTACACATGCTGCATATCTTGTCCAGGGCTGGTGCATGGTGGTCAGGCCATCCAAACTCCAGAATCTGCAGGAGGGACATTGAGGGTAGTTAACATCTGTACGTTTCTTATCGTGTGTGTGTGTGTGTGTGTGTGTGTGTGCGCGCACACCTTGGGGTTCAACTTTGACACATCGTTCCTACTCTCGCTGAGGTTGAACATCTTAAGTAGAATATGAACAGAAACCACCATCAGATGAGACTAGAGGTTTGGAGATCAACCATAATCTGAAATGATTTCCCACCAGATAATGTTCTCCGTGTTTGGACTGCAGCATCGTGGCCACCTCCTTCAGGTTGTTGGTGTAGCTCTGCTCCTCGGCACCAGCGGGGAAAGAGACGGAGATAATCCTCTCTGTGATGTAGACCAGGTCCACCTCATAGTTCTCCTCCATGGCCTGGACCACACTCAGACTTCTGGAGAAGCAGAGAGAAGACTGTCACCATCACCAAGAGGAAAGATACTGAATACTTCCAAATATGTGGACCCTGGAGTGACCTGAAGGTCGGTCAGAGGTCATAGAGTCAGATTCAAATTTGAAAGTAAGTAATTTTGGCGAGAAGAAAAAATACATATGGTACGCTGGTTATTAACCCTAGAAACTCAGCATCTAATCAGGTGAAACGTAGTAGAAATGTTGTTTCTTACCGGGACTGTTTTCTCCTGATCTCCACACTCTTACAGGACCTGGTGGATCCCTGGATGAAAAACACGCACCACAAACAGAGGCTGGTGAAGAGGAAATCAGCTTCCTCATAAAATATATATATATATATATAATATTTTTTTTGGCAAAGTTATAGTCAATGTTGTTCCTAGAGGAAACATGTGTTCCTAATAGCGCCTCCTGTGGCAGCCTGTGTGGGTTGCAAGACTCACACTGTAAATTTCCCCATTGTGGGACAAATAACAGACTAAATTATTATTATTGTTATTATTATTATTATTGCACTTCTGTCTAGCCCTTTACACAGTGTTCATTTCATCTGCCAATATTTACCTTTTGGGAAGGCTATCAAAAAATTATTAAAAAAATAATTTTCAGCTATATATTTCTAGCTAATTTGTTTAGTAGCTACAGCTGAGTAAACAACATTTTTCTTATTTTTCCTTTTATTCCTACTTTTGGCAAACTTTTATTTCCATTTTTCTTTTTAGTTTTCCTAATACAATGTAACTGGAGGTGTATCTGAAAAGCTACAGAAATGTGCTCTGCAAAAATCATTGTAAATTTACCTAAAACATTTTTTCACATACTCGCTTTTTTCTGCTATTTAGTTCCAGTCTCCAGTAAAAGTTACAGTAAAAATACAAATGTACAGATTTGTCTGTGTCAGGATCCTACCTTGCTCACTGTGCTCCACCTCCAGGTTGAAGATTTATGTGAATAACTCTTCTGAATAGAACTGTCCACCGTCATGTTTACCTGTCTACCCACAATATTGTCTGTTTGGAGTTACGATCAGGAACTTAAACAGATTTCGTTTCCTGAGTTCTCCTCTTTCCTAATGTTTCAACTCACATTAATTCTCTCATTATCTGTGGCCTGCCTCCTTCCTCCTCCTCTGGTTCTCTCATCCTTAATTATGTGTTTGTGCACCGTATGTTTCCTGCCTATTTCTGTCTGTTAACAACAACCAGCAGCAGCTGTACTTGGCCTGTGTGTCCAAGGTGTTGCTGCCACCTTGTGCAACTTAAAAGAACACCTAAGCCTAATTCAAACCACAGTTAAATCTTTAAATAGCACATCTGTTTCAGAAATTGTGTTTATTATGACGAAAATCACTTTTCACCAGTGAAAGTGTTAAAGATTTACTGTAAAACTCTACAATTGTCCTCAACAAAAGAAAGTCGATGGCAGTCTCAACAGACAGTTAATAGTCAAATCATGTTAACCTTGTGGTGAAGTAAGGTAACTGCAGTAAAGTTAACCCTTACTATACCTAGCTAACAGAGGATAACCATTCATAGTAAAAACTATTTTAGTGTTAATTATTTATTGTTTAAATTAGCTAAAGCTTGGAGGGAAAAATGTACTAATGTACAAAAGAAATTCTAAAAATGTGACATAAAGTTGCCCTGAAGTTATGAAAATATTGTTTTTTTAAATAAAACAAAAATCCAGCTCAATGTCCCTAATTGAATGCATTAAACCCACATGTTAATTAGATTAGAACACATACACGTCTCTGTCCACTAGGGTCTGTGTTCTGTACATGTTTGTTATATCTGGTGTTAGTGCTGACACCAGTGGAGAGGCCTGTACTCACCGGTGTATCTACATGCTTTAGTGGCAGCTGTGGAGTGGGAGGCTGGGGAGAGAGATAGAGAGAGAGTCATAAGGAAGGAGAGGGGGAGAGAGAGAGAGAGAGAGAATGAGTTATAACATTATAACTCATAACTCATTCTCTCAGAGACAAAAAGTACAGAATACAAGAAGAATAGTCACACCCACACAACGTTCTCCTTCTGTGAGTTTACTTTCTCCAAAATCAATAAACAATTTACATACAAATATCACAATAAATCACACCTGCTGTCAATCTTTCCAATAATCTGTTGTATTATTACCTATTACAATACCAATAATCTGTTGTATTATTACCTATTGTTACTCCCAAAATGCCATACTGGGCATACTGTTGTATGGTTATTTTATGTAATAACTTGCAAAGAGAACAAGCTATTTGCCACTTCATTACAATAATGTTTCAGGCAGCTTCAGAGCACCGTCAAGTTAACATGTGTGAATTGCTTTTGGGTAACACTTCAGACTTGAAGTACTTCGGTGAAAAGAAGCTTCAATGTTGCGGTCATCTTTGGCTCAGTTATCTTGACATTACAGCATACCCATCAGAATGGCAGTCACTCATTTCTACACTTGGCTCATTTACACTGTCTGAGGCTCGTGGTGGAGCCAGTCCCAACCCAGAACTAATCAAAACCCCCACCCATTCTATGACCTATGGTATGTCTGTGGGGCCAGTAAGTAACAGAAAATAATATATAAATATCTGTATGATATACTGTATATCCAGTAGGATGAAAACCTTAATTAACATAAAAATGTTCTTTATTTAACTGTTAGACCTACAAAGCCTGTCTCTACTAATGCTACAGCAGTGAAATGTCATTGTGGTGAGATTTGGAACAATGTCAATCGTTGATATAAGTCCAAGTCTAATAAACGTTTTAATATTGTTCTAACAAAACATATTTAAAGTTTCATGGTAATTTGAGAGGCAAAAAAGTCACAGCTCCTGGTGTTGTTCTACGCACACACACACAGACACACACACACCCAGGTACACACACACAGAGTGATGACTTTGTTCAGAGAAACGTTCCTCTTAGAATAAAACAGCAGGGTCTTAGGCTGAGAGGAGCAGTGTAAACTGAAGCAGTGGAACTGTTTACCAATCTGCCACCATCATTCAGAAAAGCCACCATCTGCACTAAATCAGTGGAAAGAAGCCACCGTAGCTGAAAATGCTCCTAATTTGGTCACGGCCTCAGTGAGGACGACTGATTACACTAAGATGTGTTTTCACCAGTCTGCTGATTCATGGAGCGGAACGAAAACCTCTATAGCAGGCATGAGAACTTTTCACTTTTTCAAAAGTGTAGTGCCGTGTGTGCATGGATGTCTTACTCATCGTAAGAGGGGAATTAGGCCATCACAAATGTTTGGGCAGCTCAAGTCTTTCACACATTAAGAATTGTCATAAATCCAGCTGAGCCTGGGGTTGTCACTAAAGACAAATGATTCTTTCGGTTGAATTTGGCCTTTTTTATTACTCTAACTGTTGTTAGTGGAAGTAAAATAGAACAGAGGTCAAAGGTCACTGTGTGATACTGATTATTACATTTTCTGACCAATGCCTCACTGCCTTGTAAGTGTGGAACACATGTCCAGATGGAGTCTTGTCTTTGTGTTACTGAGGAAGTTCTATGGTTGTAGGGATTGACCTTTGACCCTAACCTTATCCTCCTTCCTACGTTTCTGAACAGATCCAGGAAGATGTCAGGGTCAACAACATCTCTGTGGTGGGGTTGCTAGTATGGCTTTACAAACCACTACAAGTATTTTCAATAGTGTAGTTGCAGATAACAAACTGATACGAACTGATTATGTTGAATATTAATAAACATGAAACTAACTTGATGTGCAGTGTGTGGTTAAACAACAGTGAAGACATCAAGCAGGAAAATGTGTTAAATGGCCAGAATGTGTCATGTGTTTTACTGGGTCAAGTATATAAAGTAATAGGTATTGTTTCATTAAAAGAAAATTCAGGTATCGCCCATCACTAATCATGACATGGTGACAACAAGTTTTCATAACAGAACAGATGTTACAGTGTCCTCTTGTATTTGTCCATGATGTCAAAGGTCCTTCAAACTGCTGGTATTGTTGAACTACATGAATAAACGATTAGTGAGTCACTGAACTACAGCAGGAAAAACAAACAACACCTGGTGACCACTGCAGCGCTGGTTGTGGTGAAAAGCTGTTATGGACGGTTGTGTCCCCTGATCAGCATCGGTTTTCCAAGTGCAAATTATTTCAGTGCAGCGTACGGACCGATGCTGGTACTGGTTACATCCCTAGTTGGTAGTCTGAACAGAGCTTTTTCATTTCAAACGACTTCACCAAACAAGGAGCAAGTAATGACATGTTTGGTCCGTAAGGCATCCACACATGAAGTAACCTGTGAAGAGTGTTTGGAAGCTGACCAGCCACTACTGACGCTGTCAGGAGGCTCAGTGGAAGCAAATGAACACAAACACTGTACAAAGACCGTGCAGGGATGTACTCACCACCTCATTGCTAGCTGTCGTCTGACATGATGTTGTGACCTGATGAACGACAAAAGGATTTGGTCAGTGAACAGCAAACATTCCCATCATTTCATCAGTGTATAAATGTTGACGTGATGACATGTCATGACCTCCATGTCACCTTATAAACTGGGTTTAAACTGAATTGAATCATAGTAGTCAGAGATTCTGGTTGTCGGTCTTCAAAATACATGATTTACAAGACGAGCAGAAGTCGACTTTAAGATGTTTTGTATTTTGCACATATTCATGCATCTGTACATTTCTACCTGTTCTTTAAAGTGACCTCTACAGCAAACTTTCCTGTAACACCAATATCTATCAAGCATCTTCATCAAATCCATAATGGAAGCTTCAACATTCTGTTCAGAAACTGCTAAAAACAACAACTGAACTTTAATAGAATTTGACCTTGAGTTGCAACAATAAACTTTTAAACTAAAATTATAATGAATTTATGAAGAATACCAAACTGAAATCCAAGTTTCACACTCATTTAATCCTAGCAGGGAAAATAATGGACTTTATCAGGACAATGTCAAACAGTGGTAAAGAGTGGGTCTCCAGCCCACTGTTGGGTTCCTGTGGTGGTCAGAGTACAGGCCCCAGTTTCTCCATATCACACCAACACACACACTTGGTCTCAATGAGCTGAAATAGTCCTAAACACAGAGAATATTGCAGGGAGGCTGTGATTTGGGGTGTGACTGGTAGAAGCAGGAAGTGAAGAAAAAGAGGAGGGAGATATAAAAAAAACACTTCCTTATAAAGACAATGCAGTTAAAAGGAAAAGAAGACAAAGAGGTCATCACTGTGTAGCACAGCCACCTCGTTAGGTTCACAGGTTTCTCGTGCAATGTTTTATCAGCCAATCACCGGGCAGCGGGGAATTCAAATATAAACAGGCTAAGGGTGAACTGCTGTAGACCAAGTCAAGCACAACCAGAAAGAAAATGATGGAAGCAGAAAAGTCAAGATACAACAGGTTGAAGAGCATCGGTGAATTCATGACACATGAGGATGCTGGTCCCTCATGAAGTGGTCACTCAGTGTACAGTGGTGGTCTGATGCCAGTGCATGTTTCCACACTTCCCAGCAACAGTATCACTGGTGCCCTAATTATAATTTCCCCTCAAAATTAGAGTGGTGTTGATTTCCTGATGTTGCCCTGATGCACGTAGCATCTTTAAATAGCAGATGGGGGACAGAGAGGGGGGTTCTGGGATCTCTTCTCCAAACACTTAGGACATCGTGTCCATGACAGGCTCCTGATAGTCTGGGTCACTGTGTTGGACCGCAAATCAGTCGTCACGAACGTCAACAGCCCAAGCATTTCCATCTGATTGTATTTACATTCAGTGTGTGACAACATCAATGTGAACACAGTGTGTGTGTGTGTGTGTGTGTGTGGGCAGAGACTCTATCAGTGGACGACAGACGCAGGCAGAGAAGGAAGTGTTTGCCAGTAGTTTGCTCTGAGAAAAACAGAGTCTCATTGACTTGGTTGTTATAGCAGTTAGTGTGTCAGAACAGATGAAGCTGAATAAACCAGACTGCCAACATTTACCCTACAATTGGACGGAATTCAGGTGTGTTCAAAGTGTGGCTCCTGGCCCATATTTTTGGAAAAGTTTTGAAATATGGTAAATAAATATGTTTAACTGTTTAGCTTAGCCAAAGAACGACTGTCAAAACATAACATGTTAATCATGGCAATGAATGAATTAGTCAGCCCTATTAAATATGGCTGTACAATATCGGCTACTTTAATGGTCTAATTTTATGCTAGTGCCATAATAAACACATTTTTTACCATCTTTGGTTTCTTTGTCCTCACATTTGGTCACATTTGGTTCTATTTTGTGTTAACCCTAAGCTAGCTAGCTTATGTAAGTAACGTTTCCGATTTCTGCTATTTTTAGAGTGGAGCTGATTCTTAAACATCTCCAACTTGCCTGTTAATAATCTTTGGGCAATTTTTTAGCCAAACTTTTATGTTTTTGATATTCTTTTGGATATACATTTGTGCTAACAGTGTGCAGCTAACACATTGCTGTACAAACTTGGTCAACCCAGGGCAAAGCAGCAAAGTCCTCACTTGTTTTTTTGGATCCATAGTCTCCTGATGAGATGTCGCTTAGTTTTTTTTAAACCCTGGAATTCCACCAGAGGCTGCATGTTGCAGATTTTTGTGGCCTAATCTGCCGTAAGCACATAAAGTCTGCAATGCGATCTGCACCGTGAGGTCAGCCGCTTTTTGCCATTTACAATACAGTAAAATCTAATTTCATACGCCAGCATTTACGAGCTCACAGCTGAAAAATTCTCCGCAGGGGAAAATAGGCAGGCAAGAAATATGGCTGGAAATTTCACAGACCAAGTTTATGTGGTTCTAACTGTCAGCGGCCAAACTGACAGCCCTAATATTCATTTTTCCATAAACAGACAGTCCAGCCTTGTTAAGCACAGTTTTTTATGATAACTTGTGGGTCTTTTTTTTTTTTGGTTTATTGAATGAATGGATTTAATTGCTGATGTTTCTGTTGCATGTGTTAAAGTCATTCAGAGTCTCAGTTTGCCTTCACTGTACATAAATACATACACACACACACACACATATATAAATATATATATTCCCTTTCATGTCTTACCCAGTAAATATGCTAACTATGGTTCCCTTCTGCAATCTTCCAGAAAAGTGGTGTCCACCAATCATTTCCAACATGGATTCATCCCTCTGAAAGCTCTTTGTCCATTTGCTCTATGCTGCCCCCTTCTTAAATACCACATCTTTAAACAGCATTACTTCCATATAACCTTCTATTCTAAAAGTCAAACAGTTTATTGATTCATTTCTTAGCTTTTCTGCTATATATGTTTCTAACAAGAAACCCACTTCAACAAAACATCCCTAGGATAAACATTTTGTGTGCTGCCACTATTATATATAATTTTATCAGGGGTCCCCAACCCCCTGTCAAGAGGACTGGTACCAGTCCATAGATCATTTTATACCAGGCCACAGTGAAATACTTAACAATTTACATTTCAAGAGAATCTGGTCATTTCCATTTAGTTTCTTCAATTAAAAATATCAGCCAAGCTTTAAAAAATAATACACATTTAAGGTTTCAATACGAGGAGAATAACACTAAACAAAATGTTTTATTTTGAAAATCTTTAAATTTTCAAAAGGTACTGGCCAAGTTCCAGCTAAATTTCCTATGAAAAACTGATGCAAAATAATAATTTATATTATTATTGTCTTGTGTTCGAGATCTGCTCCAATGGCAGAGGTGTTGATAGAGTCACATGTAGTTGTGGAGAGAGAGATGTGATTTATACATTCTGCTTTTCATCAATGAAAGAAAATGTCCAGAATATAAACAGTCAGGACAGGACATGTAATTTAGCCTCATCTTCATCATCAAATAAAAACATTTATGTAATCCTGCCAGGTCGTTTCATAAACACACGTCTCTGTTGGCGTCACAGCTGAATGTTTCCTTTGACAAACCTGCTGCTGCTGCTGCTGCTGCTGCTGCTGCTGCTGCTGCACTGCAGTCTCCAACAGTCCATGGAGCTGTGAGTACGTATGAAGAGCCACAGACAGTTCAGCTCATGGCTGCTCCTCCACTGACCTGGGGCCATGGTTGACATTCATAATTACCAGATCATCTGCCTGAACTCACAGCAGACAGGAGTCACAGTACAGTGGACTGAACTGTATAACGTGTCTGAATGTGTCCAGATCAGGACTTTTTCTACCGACTACTTCAGTGATGGATGGTCTGAGGGATGTGTTTAGGGTCTGCAGAAAAAGACTTACTGGTAAAACTGCAGTGCTAATTATTGGATGTACTATACATGGGAGCAATAAGTGTAAAGGCACCAAGTGAAATTTGTTTCTAATCGACCAATAATCCTAAAGCTAACATGAGGCTGTTTGCAGGTTTTTTAAATTGTAATTTACCCCTGTGGACTTCATTCTACTCTACATGTCAGAACAACGACAGATCAGTGGACCGTGGTCGAGTTCTGCTCCAGACTCTGTTATCCAGATTCCCTTCATAGAGTTTCTACACAGCCACTCTGCAGTGAAGTGACATCATCTCTGATTGGCCAGTCCTTGTTGCCTCTGTCGGTTCTGTTGGTCGGGTTTAGGTTTGAGGACTGAGGTTGGTAAAGGTGAGGGATGGAATGTGACACAATATACAACGTTATGAAATAGAGTCTCGGCAAACGTCAACTGGAGAGAAAAAGCAGGCAGTGACAGAGAGAGTGGAAGATCGACACAGAAGAGCGGGTCTGATGGGTTTATGTTAATCTCCAAACAGCCGACTCTGCTCTGAGACTAATTATATGTGAGAAAAACTGCAAACTACATTTAGCAGTAGGCTAACAGAAAATAGACAGCAGTAAAACTATCTTCCATTATTTAATACACAAGACAACAAAGCTGGAGGAGCCTGTTCACGTTTACAGAAATCCATCTGCGATCCAAATCCGACTGCGTAATCCTTTTCACATTCCTGTTGGAGGAAACTTTTCTGTACTAATCAGCAAATTGATTTACTTATTTACTTTTGTATGAAGCGCTTGGAGGTGCATTCAACTGTACTGTATAAATGAAAAAAAATCTTTATGAAAGCCAAAAATGAAAGGAAAATATTAGGGAATTAAATTACATAATTAATAAAGCTAAAGTTGACCTAAAGCCTACCTTACCATCTTTTTAAACATGTTTCAGAGAGTAGATCGCACTAAAAATATTTCCAACAGGTAAAGAATGAGATTCAAAGTGGGTTACATGGGTTTTCAAACAGTAGGTTCATAATCACAGCCAATCACGAGGGGCGTCTGAGAAACCACTGGGCCTTAACAGGAAGTCAAAGGAGTCAAGTACACAACCTTAACCCAGACAAGAGGCCTGACGAGGGGCCAAGTGGGAGGTGAGCAAAAGGTCAGAAGCCTTAGGTGAGATCTGTAAAGCTGACATTGTCCTGTAGTTGATGGTA